GTAACCAATTTTAATTGAGTTCATTTAAACAATAACTGGTTGTCTGGATATAATTATATCAACAATAATTACATCCAGACAACCAGGTATTTTTTTATATTTACATATAATTTTTTTTAAGACATATTCCTACAAAAACCATTTGCCCTGCCTCAAAATACATTTCAGGCGGCCATTTTGTTTGTTTACATATTCCTACACCTGAAACAGGCAGTTGTAACTATAGTCGAGCAGTTGTTATTATAGCCTATATAATTACACTTGCCCTCTAACACCGTTGTAATGGGACGGCACGGGGGCAAATGTAAATATAACTCTATGAGCGCAATATCCTCTGGTAATGTTTATAGAGGAACTTGCAACGGAAATGGAAATATAAATGTATTAAAATGCCCTTGTTCACACATAATTGATGTGTTCGGTTTCGATTTGCTAGTACCGATGTAATTTCAATAAATATGTTTCCGATATAGCCAAACGGAACAACATTACAAAACTCAGAACGACAACTGCTTATGACATCAAATATTATTTTAAATATTGGTATATTTTCATGTAGATTTGATTAGGGCACAAAGTCGTCACAGTTAACTCCCTTTTTGTCCTGCTATCTAATATAAACAGAAAACTTCCTTGTTCTGGTTTAAGAAACAGCTTAGTCAACATCGGCTACACCTGCATAAAAGTATGCAGTGTGTGAAACATAATTTATTATTTAGACACATAGTAACATTTTACAATTTGACAGTTATTTACGTAGATTTACAGGATTGTATTGTTTGATTTTACTTTTATTTCAACTCAATTGTTTGCTTATAATTTAATCGATACACCAGTAGTCTTTCATATCTGTAAACAAATACTCATTGTGGTATTTGAATATCGCTATTCACTTTTTATGACGTCACAAATGATCGCGTGTTAATCTGTCAGAGGAGATCTTCTCCTTAGGATAACAAGCTGATATTTACCTCTAACACCGGAGACCCACATGTGGAGGATGGTAGACAAAACACTTCTCTGCGTTCAGTTAGTGATCACTTCATCAACCATTAGTATAACTTGACCGAATGCGATGCTGTGTTGGATGCTTTCGGCATTGTATGTGTGAGGTACATGTAACACCCGGCATCAGTCGGCATCAGAGATTCGCGCTATGGCATAAAGGCAAATATTCCAAGATAACGTTATTTCCACCAGACATACATGTGTACGCCATTGAATAACCTTAGCTTAGCAGTATCCCTTTTATCATTACAATTATCATAATATACGACAAACTGCAATAATGGGAAGCTGTTGAACAACATTTATTCATTCAATTTGATAAAAACATTTTAAAATTTCAACCATTTGGGCTCTTATATCTATTTTTCATAACGTCAGTTACTTAATAACATTCACGAAATTAATAACATAACATCAACACATCAAAACAAGAAAATTAAAAATGAAATTCAATGCAAATAATGTAACACCAAAATTACACAGAGACAAACAAATGGTAATAATTTGAACAGAAAACTGCACTTTTTTAATAAAATAAAAAGAAACAAGATATTCATACTTATTAATACATAAAACAATATGGCTATGAACATTTGTTATGAGATGCGAGACAAGTAGAAGCATTGGACTACATACAGTAAATGTCATTGGCATAAATCCCTTTCGAGGGGGTATGAAAAACAATATTCTTTTTTAACAATCGTCGCCTATGTCTTTTCAGAGTTATTCATTCTTTGGCGTCAACAAAACAATTACACGCGCTACGTACCTGTAGATTGTGTGTTTAAACAATACGGATATAGTTATCGAAAGGATATATTCAATAGGTATGTAAACCAATCGGAGCTCGTGTGTACGGGAGTTCTGCCTATGGCGTCACATGATGATATATATTTACTGTGCTTCTTACCATCCCAGAAACTGTTGACAATACCGAGGATTGCATTTTCCTTGTTAAAAGGACATCTCTCACAGAAACGACCGATGATAACAACATTTTTCATAGCATCGTCAATACATCGGAAGTACATCTAAAGGAAAACAACAATTACGAGGTTTCACTGAAGGGTTTCGAAGTCGTCATTCTGACCTGGTTTCAACAATGGAAATTTTGTCTTGACTGGACAATTCGTTCACACACATGGTGCAAGAAACGATTAGCCTTCCGGAGCGTTACTTTTGCCTCTTTTTTTGTAAGGTTTTTCTTTGTGTCTTTTTTCTTTGTTTTGTTTTTTGTTGGGGGGGTTTCACGGGGGATTAAACTTGTTTAATCGTATCAATTTTAGCGCTCATGCTCTTATTTTATATGCGTATTCTTAAAACTAAATTTAAAAAATACTTGATCAAATAACGTTGCTTCATGATTTTGTGAGTTAGCTTGAACAACGTGTCTTAGAGTTCTTGAAAGAAGGATTCTTGCCAAATTAAGTGACACACATAGTACAAACAACGATAACTCTGAACTTCCTCGCTGTTTTCGTTAGGCTCTCTGTGGCTTTTTCTTCGGTCTTCTCTGGGGTTTCCAGTTGCCCAATCGTAGCAATTTTCAGTTGGAACTTTGATATATTTAGGGTTTTTTTAACTTCCACCATTTTTTAACTTCCACCATTTCTTTTTTAAACTTATGAATTATATCATTTAGTTAAACATGTATCCCTCCCTTCTGATCAATATTTATATTTTATAAACTTGAACGAACAATTTTGTTGCATTCTTTAAAATTAGAAGCTAATTGTTCTGCATTAGTTCCCATCGAAAAAAAAAAAAAAAAAAAAAAAAAACACCATTCATCACTTACTTATAATTAGTTTCTAAAACAGATGCAACTTGGAAAATGACAATGCATTTAGCAGATTAAGAACAATGGCGTATATGGGTAATAACTAGTGGATTCTTGGTTTGCAGCATGCACTGTTGCTGTGGAAACCTGTTGGTGGATACCCTGGGCTCCATTCCTGTATTCCGAGGTTGAGAATTCTACTTCGTTTGCTGATGGTACGAGTGGTGTCCCCTTAGCTGTCGACTTCTCCGTAGATGTCCGCCATGTTGTAGTCGCATTCCCTGGCACTGCTGTTGATTTTTTCTCCATCATTGAAGCGGTTACTTTGTGGCCATGGCATTTTGTAAAACAGCTTGAATACAATTTATTTTGAGCCGAATGGGACCATAATTAAAGAACTATGTATAATATATGCTGTCTTTGTCATTTTGAACGCAGATAGGCCTATAAGGTTTGTTCACGCCGTAAATGCCTCCGTCGGATTGGTTTCCGGATAATGTTATTCCGTCTTTGCGTATTGCAGAGTTATCTTCTCTTTGGAGCAGGTATTGATTGTGAAGTCACTTGTTTGTAAGAGTAACGTCAACAATTTTGGAGAAAACGACGTAATTTTCTCACACAAACCAATGACGTAACAATCAATACCTGCTCCCAAGAGAAGATAACTCTGCCATACGCAAAGACGGAATACATGTACGTACGTATTTTTTATTTCTTTTACTGCGACCTTACATAAAAGCGTATATTATGTAAGAGGACATATTGATTACAAAATTAACAAGAAAATGCAGCAAAGCTTCTGGACACCAAACCCTTTTATGAAAACGACTTACTGACAGTCCATCAACCACGAAGGAACGGATCCTGCATACTTGAATCTATTTAATTATAATTTTATAAATTGTTAATGACATTAATTTTGTCGTTCAGAATATTCCGTTCATGCTCAATATCCCTACGTTTTGCACTATTGTCACTTCTGAGAGAGAAAAACCGGGACTTAAGATGATTAACATAAAAGATCATTTATACCTTTTGTTAAAATTGCAGCGATTTTTGCAAATATTTCTTTTGACAATGTACCTATTTGACTATTTTGGATAAATTATCAATCATCTTCTAGGTTAAAACGTCAATCGTAACCCCCGCCCCTTTGAATGATTGTTATTACTTCTCGACTGAGATTGCTACGAAAACACATTTTGCCACAACGCTGGTATTTTGGTTGTTATCACATATTCGTTTTATACAAATGAAATAAATATTTTGTATTGAACGGGAAAACCATGAAATTTTCTATTTCTTTATTTTTTTCACGTCATGCGCTGTGCAAATATTGCTACACCAGAAAAGCGCGGGAATGTGTCACGTAGTTTTTGACGCAAAGTTGTAATGACGTCACGCTTGAATGGGTTTTCACTGCAATTTTGACGTTTGCTAGTATTGTCTGGTAAAATTTCCTGACAAAAATGATATAAATTGTGTAGTTAAGTAAAAAACATTGATGTATGCTGCAAAGGTAGACAACACAACCATTTAGTCCGCCGTCACTTCAACTAAACTTGAAACTGAAAATCTACGCAGAGAAACTAATGTACCGTTCAGATTGGACAATACTAAGAGTGAAGTTTTTACTCGTGAAGATATAATGTTTTGTTTTTTTATCAAATGGAGAATTAATGATATTTCTCTTACATGCAAACTAATAAATACCGATACCGTAGACCATCATATTTTTGAAGACAGTATGCGGCCTTAATTTCCCAGAAGCATGGGGAAGCACAGGAAGTGGACAAAGTGTTTGCTTTGCGCCGCTTTGGGGTTTGAAAAAAAACACTGTCAATATTAAGAAATTGAAAGAAAATAAAACAAGTTAGTACAACCTAATATTTCGTTAACTTTTGAAAAGGGGAATAAACCACTAAAGAAGGTTACGGTTCTACATCTGGGATCCATTCATTAATTAATTGACATCAAGAAAAACTTTTTTAAACTCAATCCTGCAAACGCTTAGATAATCAAATATAAGCAGAGCGATTGATGACCTAAAACCTTTCAACTAACAGACAGTGAGTCTTCGATATTGTCATAACATGGGTAGGGGGCGTAAAGCTTGAATTCCGAGGATGTCTACTGTTCATGGTGAGGCCGGTTCGGATTTATCGGATATTCCGGATCCGGTTCGTAATTTACTATCTTCAAAATGGCCGCCTCCATTGGGTTTGGAGCTTTGCCGAATGTACATAAATAATGAGATTGCCTGAAAGCTTTTCCAAATGTGACATCTTTACTTTGGACAATATATTCACAGAGAACTCATAGCTTAGTCAGGTAATTTACTGGGAAATTGTTTCATTTAAGTAGTTTCTTCATTCCAACCAGTGTGTTCTGAAACGGATGAGGTCATCGATATTTTAGGGCCGCAGTGCTACTTAATTATAGATACATAAACAATTATACGCTTCAATGAGTTCGAAACATTTTTTTTACATTATATTAAACAAGTAGATTATTTAGATTTATTACAATTCTTGTTTTATTCTCTACCCTGTCTGAAAGATTTGCTACATCTCGTGAGGTGTAACGTTATTCTAGTACTAGTATAATCAGGTCCAATACACTGCCGGTTGTCAGAGTTATAAAGCTATACAGACCTATATAGCTATATTCACCTATAAATTAGAGCTGTATTGAGCTATATTTTTTCTCAGATTTCAAGTTTCATTAAGTTAAAGCAAAGTCGCATAAAGAATAAGGTTAGATGTTAATGTTTATTTTCATTTTTCATAAATGTAAAATTTCCGATTTTTTTACATCATTATTTTTTTAAAAAGAATATTTATATCTAATGTCTTTTGTTATCAACCTAGTGAAAAAAATCTTCTTTTAAAAGCGACTTTGTTTAGTTTTCCTTAAAAAAGAAAAGCACTTGAAAATAGCTCAAAAGATCTATTTCAGATAGCTGTCTTAGTACATTTATAGATTAATATTTATCAAATTAGGTGATGATTATAAACTGCAAAAGGAATTAATGAACAGCTAAATGAATGAATGTAAAAAAAAAGAATAAATGCAAAAAATTGAATGAGATAAAAAGAAATTGAAAGAATGAATATATGACTCCTCTTGCATGAAGACAATTTTTGTCAGGATACTGAACTTGGGGCCCCACCCCTGACAGTATTAATTAAAAAAAACAATTGGGGTCAATAAGAAAAAAAAAAGTTCTATGTTACAATGAGGCAAGTGAGGTACAGACATTTCTGTCTATAGATACCAACATATTTCAGTACTTTTATACAATGTTTCTGTACTTCCCAAGAGTCATTTCATATTTTATAAGATTTTCAGATTCTGCAAAGTTTTTCATTTCACAAAGAAGAACAAAACATCCTACTGTTAGGTTTTGAAAACAACCAGGTACCGGAACAAACAGGATTCAAATTAAAGCATGCAAATTTTAAATAAAAATTCCTATACCTATAGTCACAAAACTTTAGTGTTTTCTGGGTTTTTTCAGGCCAAACTCACCTGTAAGTTGCCATGACTAAAATGAATTGATCAAGTCCTTATCTTAAACATCCTACCACCGACTTAGATAGCCCGCGATCCTACTCAGGGATCTTCATTCTACACACAATGGCACGTCCCAAGGACAAGCGTCCCCTCATTGAGAATGAGCGTTTCCTTTCCCGTTGTGCCAAGGAGGAAGATAGACTCCGTCTCCACTTATCCACCCAACTAAAGCAGGACATGGACAGGTAATGAAAGTGTCTATCTGTGTTACATACAAAATGTGTCTCAGAATCTGATGTGTAATTGGTGAAAAATAGGAATATGCATATTTTTTCTAGATCAAGGTATTAAAATAAATGCCCAGATCTAGATAAAAAGAATCGAGTAGGAGAAATGGCTTGCCACTTACTATTTTTTTTACTCAAATGCTAAATAATAATTGGCATGGTATTTAAACTCTTCATTTGTTTTGGACTTAACGTTTCACACTCGAAAGAATTTTAAGACTTTTTTCATTGCACATGATGTATATAGCCCAGCAATTTGTGACTTTTACACGATCTGTGGTTTTTCAATGTACTACGCTTATTATCATTACAAAAAAGATTTTGTTGAGTGCTGATACAGCAGATTTTACAAAACAAATCATAGTTATTTGAATTGCTGTTATGTTTCTTTCCTTTCTGTTTTGACACAGGCTGTTTGAGACGGGACTACACAGTGACATTACCTTAAAGTCAGGATTTCAGGAAATAAAACTTCACAAATTCATTCTGAAAACAAGGTCAGTATCTGATTCTGTAAAACTTTATATTAAAAAATATCTTCCTTTTATGATTAAAATCATTTTTGAAAAGTTCATAGTCTGCATAACCTTTTAAGACAAATCTGTATGAAATTAGACAGCTTGCCATTTAAATCATTATCATGGCCTTTCTTAAATTGAAAATATTGCATCATTCTGTAAGTACAAATTTATACCCAATTTCTTAAAAGCACATTTTCACTGTTATAGCTATTGATAAAACTGATTTCAGGAGCCTTGAGATCTACAACAGGCTGCATGAGGTGTGTACAGAGGCCGGGGGAGACCTCCTGGTACTGCCGGAATGGGTCCAAGTCCCAACACTCAGGGAAAACCTCAGGTATTAACAACACAGATTACAAGTTCTGTGAAGTAGGTAATATGCCTGGTACCGATGGCAATGACCCTTGTGCGTGGTAGCTAGATTATGTCACTAATACTATAACACAAAAGTTCACTAACTAAAGCTAGGGAATAAGTTTATAAATAATCTTAAGTTTAGATAATTCTACAGATGTTCTATTTTTTCGACTGTCACATAGTGCTTCTGGTTTTTAAACCAATCCTTTAAAATTTGTGTTTTGATTTGTTGCAATAATATAATGAAGTTCCTGAAATTGTAAAATGAAACAAATATAAGTAAGAAGAGGATATAGTTAGCTGATACTTCATTCATAAGAATGTATTATAGACTAGAACGTTCATGGCATTTGTAAAAAGGTTCTAAAAAATCATATATATAAAACATATATTGTATTTGTTGATTTCAGACTTCTGTACAGTACCCTGACCATACAGCCACTGCTTAGTGAGGACTCGGACAATGATATAGGAATAGTACAAGATGTTGTAGCACTTTTAACATTCCGGGAAAAACCGCAACCTGAAGAGGAGGAAGAAGATGCTGAAAATGATGCCACTGAAGAAACTACAGGCTCCAATACTGTGGACACATTGTCAGATGCAGATAAATTAGAATCTGACGATAAAAATAATCATGATAATGTAAATGGTACAGAAAATCTAGAGGAATGTTTTGATCAAACAGAACCTGAACAACCAACATGTAATACTTCTGTGGAACCACGACCAACCGATCTGAGTTTGAATGAAAATGGTGAAGTCGCTGGTGCCTGTTCTGCTGTGAACCATGAGGAAGCAGTTTCAGTTGAGTCTGAAACTGAGCAAAAGGAAAGAAAAACAAACGGATTCAGTGATGGTAAGGGAGATAACTCTAGCAATGGAGAGGGGGACATTGTACATGTGAAAATGGTAGAAAATGGTTCCGATGAGTGCAAGGAGTCTGTGCCTGATGATGAAAAGAACTCCAGCAAGGGAGATAACTGTTCACTTCAAGATCTGATCAAGATGACATATGACCTGAGTATACCCTACAAGGCTTGTGATTCCCTAGGGGAAGGGCTCCTGAGGGGATACCTAAAGGAAGTGGACCATGACTGTGTCATCTCGATCTCTGGGGCCCACTTCAGGGCACACAAGTGAGTAAAGTAACACTTTTATTGATATAAAATACAAACTTTAATAATTGTACAACAATTATGAAACAAGTTATTTCAACTTCTATAAATCACTCTTGTTGGCCCGGATTTTAACGCACAGGGAGTCTTAATGTGGGAGGAAACCGGAGTACCCGGAGAAAACCCACATGGTCGGGCAGGTGACCCCATACCTTTTCACGTCCTATCGAGAAATCAAACCCGATCATCTTGGTAAAATACAAGTGTGCTATCCACTGTGCCACCCGACTACCCAATTGAATCCACTTGATTGAACTTAAGTGTTTGTAAAGAGGATTAACCCTAAACACTATTCATTGTAAAGTTATTGAAAATAGCCTATGAAAAATATAAACATTAACTGACATTTGACCTATTGACCTGACCCCACTTTAGTGATTTACATGATCCAATATATGGCTTCTCTCAGTTGAACCATTTTGACCCATTTGGCACCATGTGACTTGATTCCACTTCAACCCTGATTGTCATCATTTGAGCTATTTATTTAATTGACCCACTTAACATGTTGCCAAAGTGACCTCAAATGACCTATTTTCTCTTCCTTGACTCCATTTGAATTCCTGATTTGACCTTGCATGACCCATTGACTTGACCTGAGCTTTCCTATACAGACTTCATTCCACTTGAATCAGTCACTTAATATTTCCTATTTTATTACTGGACAACCTGATCTATACATTGACTTGATTCATTGACTTGACCCTGTTTGACCTCATTTGACCCAGCCTGACCTCATTTGACCTAATATTCTGACCAGTAGATAATTTGATATTGTTACGTTTGTGGTTATAGATGTATTTTAGCCATCAGATGTGACTACTTTGCTGATATATATGTATATATATGTTGGGAGGATCCAGTAGATAATTCCATATTGTACGTTTGTTATAGATGTATTTTAGCCATCAGATGTGAATACTTTGCCGCCATGTTGGGAGGATCCTGGATGGAAAGTGATGCTCAGGAAATTTGCCTTGAAAGGTTGGTACCTGTTATATAATGATAAAAAAGCTTATACCCCTCTCTTCACGTCTGAAATAGTCCTGAAACTGTTTAGATTGTTCCATAAATAGAACAGTAACCCTCAAGGAAGGACAAGTGGTAGTCAGTGTTAACATTATGATGTCATAATACAGCTTTGTTAGCAATCGAGCCATGGCATTATATATTGATAGCTGCTATATGAATGGCATTGGACTTTGTAGGGTTCTTATATGGCATTGCCATGCTTGCACAATGCTATTTATATGATATGATGCTAAGTAAAGTGGCTGCCATAGTGTTATTCAGCTGTGTCGCCCCGTCATGAAAACAATCTTCTTATATTTTATCTCTGACGCAACAGCCAGGGAATCGTGACAATCTATGATCACTTTACCATGTAGACATTAATGGTTCTGAATTATTTTACTTACCAACTTTTACGAAGTACAAGTTGATTATCTTGCAGCATCAGTCCCCCTGTGATGGAGCAGGTCCTGCTCTACCTGTACGGGGGTGTCCTGGACCTAGAACCATGCTGCCCTATAGGAGAGGTTGTCATGGTATCTGACATGTACGGTCTCCAAGGGCTCAACACCATAGTCACGTATAACCTGAAAAAGACTTACTGCCATTTCTTCCACAAGGTACATGTAATGTGTTTGACTGAGTGTAGATATAAGTTGAAAGACAAGTACAAATAATACATATATTGTTTTGGAAAAAATTGTTCACATTTTTCAGCTTCAGACTGTTCTCTGTATAATAAATGAAAGAAAAAAAATACCAGGTATATGGTAGAGATACAGTGTATAATATTTAGAACAAAATACTCCCTTATATTGTTCAATTGTGATAGAGTTATTTCCCTTGGAGCAATTTTCAGATTTTGATTATGTGCCTATTCTAACAAAATCTGTAAAGGATATTTAATGCATAGAACTCGTTTTGAAATGAGATATAGGTGAAAGTTGTGTTAGCATACTTCCTTAACTATCTATTTCCATAGGTTTAAGTTGTATTTTCAAAAACAGATCTTCCAAACTCTAATATCTGGAGAAAAAATACCTTTTAACATGTAATTTCAAGGCCTTGACCTTTAACCTCAGCCATGTATTGGTTGTGAGACAGGAGCCCTGGTGGCTCTGACCGTAACCGTGACCTTTATCTTTTGTTTTGCCTGCTCAGCCGTGTAGTGTTTGTGAGACGGGGGTCGTAGAAACATTGACCTCAGCGCTGACCTTTAATCTGTGTGACTTACGAGACAAGTGCATCGACTGGATAAACACCAACATGGTGAAGGTTTGGAGGACAAAGGCGTTCGCTACTCTGCCTCCGGAGGTCCTGGATATGGTCTGCAATTCCGCCATCCAGCATCTGGTATGTATACATATACTACATTGCATAGTGTAGCCTGCAATGTTCCTGTCACCTTTATTCCAGCAAAAGAGGTTGGATAGTGAGATAGAAGAATTCCAGACACAATTTGTTTTTAGAATGCAGGCTCATCTATCCCCTAAGACACTGAATAATGGAATGACTTGATCTTGATTAGTGCAGGTGCCCACAATAGAAAAAATCTGTGAGTGCGACCTTCACATTATAACTTTTAAACTGTTCTTGTACATCTACATACCACCAGTGTAAAATTTCAAAAATATCATGTTTTGAATTTGAAGATAAGGATCGTACCACCCATGATCTATTTTTAGTAACAGGGATATTGACCTTGACCTTACAATCTTTTTAAACAATTAAACAATTATTTCACATCTATATTTCAGTGTTAAACCATGTCAAATTTCCAAAAGATTATCCTTTTTTATTCAGGGCTGAGGACTATACCCCCTTCCCCCAGGGTCTGTTTTAAGTAGCAGTCACATTTACATGTACCTTGCCTTTTTTTAAACCCCTATTGCCCATCTACATATCACAGTGTATTACCATGTCAGATTTCAAAAAGAGTTGACCTTTGGATTCTAAGAATCTCTGGAAACAAAAGTGTGTACGGACAGACGAACACTCTGATTATATGGGGCCCCCGCATCTCTGATTTAGGGCCCTAATAAAATTAAGTTCATCATCAGCTCATCTGAACATTTCAATCACATTGTTTAGGAGAGACAAAAAGGGAAAGTTCTCTATAAACTAAATTTGACTTACATTCAATGATGTCACAATTGATTTGGCTGTTTGGTGACGACTCTTCCTTAATTAAGCTTAAACATGTTAACACATTGCCTGAATAAATCATGTGTTAGCAACGGTCTGCTGTGATGTTCCTGCTCTGTTGGAATTCATTGGTTTTTAAATTTGTTCTGATCAGCTGATATATATGCCAAACTGGAAATGTCATTTGTTGTAGTTTATGTCACTGTTGGTGTTTCAGAGTATACAGTGTGTGATGGAGGTGATGCTGGATTGTCAGAAGTTGAACCGTAACATTCCGCGGCTCAAATGGTGCGAGCCTGCCCTGTCTGCTGTCATCCGCCTTATGGATAGCTCCATCGAATACACCGCAAAAAATTTCATCAGTCTTCTCAACAGCGGCAAACTCCGGGACATTGATACGGTAATATTGACATCATAAAGTGGTTTTGCAATAAATTGAGGGAAATGTATAAAATAATTCTGAAGAAAACAAGAAGACGGGACACTGAGATATGTTGGCAATATATATACAAGGTTGCAAATGAAACAAGGGCAGTATACTGAGGTTTTACTGTCGTTCAAATAAAAACATTGTTCCATCACTGTGTTGTGTCTTTGAGCGAGATACTTTACTCCGCTTGTTCCAGTCTACTCAGCTGTAAATGAGTACGTGGTTGGGCAGTGCTAGAATTGTAGAATGCTAGCTGTTAGCGCCGAAATGGCAGCACCGGCTGTATGCTCCCCAGAGAGTTGAGAAAGGTATTGGCTGGTTGCAAAGGCCCTATAACCTCGGATAATAATTTGTGAACCGCTTTGAGACGACCTACGAACTAGGTCTTGTGATAAAGCGGTATATAAGAACCTCAAATTATTATTATTAAATGAGAAACAAGTCCTGTGTCTCTTTTTCTGAATTAAAAAGAAGAATAGAAAAAGAATCATAACTTCATCAAACCTGAAAATGGTAGTAGAAACTACTGCAAAGTATAGGTTTCTTTTCTAAAATGTTTTCTTAAAGATATATTGATGCCAGGGATAAAAGTGTGAACCTTCTAATAAACAGTTACAGTTTGTGGCAGTGGTGTTGGAATTCTTTCGCCCCTAAGTAACTTTAGTAGACTCTCCCATGTATTGGTATGGATGAGTCTAGTATGGTCTACAGTGGTGAAAGGGTTAAAGAGTGACAGACCTGTAAATAGTAATGCAGTCTTTGAAATTCTGAAGTCTTTGTGAAGGGTTTAGCCAGAAAACAACATCATACCACTGCAGGGGTTATCTGCATTTCATTAATAAACAAAACACTGATCCAACCGATTCAATCCAGCCTTTTGGGATATGAGATAAGTGAAAAGTGGCCTCAGTCAATCAATAGCATTTTTAAAAGAAAAAAGATGGATACAGGCAGATATCTCCTCTATACCCATATCAATGATACGATATAATGTACATTCAATTCAATCTGTTGCTTGTCCTACAGACCCTGGCGTACCAGATGGGACTACTAGAGGAGATCTTTGGTACGGTGATCAGTTCTCTACCCCTGTCGGGGGCCTGCCAGGTCTTCGAACGACTGCATGCACTCAACAAGGCATCAACCTCTGAGGAAATGGAGTCCGTTTGGAGTGAGGTTTGTGCATAGAATAAATAATAGTCATAGATTCAATCACAACAGGCAAAGGAGCATGTAGTTCTGGTAATTTATTATGAGTGTCGACTGGCCATGGTTTCCCCCCTACAGTGAACCAGATTTTTCCACCATTGAAGAAACCATGGCGTTAGCTGTACCCTTCACCTTAGAATCAATTATGATCCAGCAATATTTGTGCTCCTTATACGTTATCCCTCTACTGGTATTATGAGTTGATCTGTTGTTTTTCAAACAAGGAATCAAAGGTAAGGAGACTGGAATAATAATCCCTTGAATAAAATTTGTATTTTGATTTCAAGGTATTATCTGTTAACTATAGGACTTATATATATATATCAAAGGTTTTAACATGAAGTGGAATCTCAGAAAAACAGACTCGCATCTCCCATGCTTACATTTCACTTTTTGAATCCTTTCTGTTCCATTTTCCCAAAGGAAGGTGGTCACTGTCAATTTACTGAAAATTCAACCTCTAGTGAAACCTTACTTCATGTAACTCAATTGTTTGATTACAATACGTGAACCTACCATTCCAAGTGTGTGTGTTGTTTGGAGAGACAACATATCTTTATCCTGTATTTGTACTGTATTCACACTTTAATTTGTTGTTTGTAGGAGTTTTGTGCCTTTATCCGGTCCCTGTACAAGATGTGTGAGGAGTTTATGAAGCTGCACATCCACCAGATGGCTCTGACCAAGGACTGGGATATACTCAATAAGGATCTACAAGCTCACCTCATGAAAAGTGAGTCAACTTACCTCACCAGTCTTAAAATCTGTCTAATATTACTGGTACATGTAGCTAAATTGAAAAAGTATGGTGTTTAATCATTTTAAGCTGTTTGCCAGTTTGGTTAGAAAACTTTGCTAGTTTCTACTGTATACTTTATGAATTTTTGCCTAGTCAGATTCTTGCCCTTGCCAGTAAAAGCCATATCCGCTCAGTTTTAATTTCGCCCTTCTCTGTATGTTATGTTGTTTTCGAATGTTGCTGTAATGACAAATCCGCCCTCGTAAGACATTACTGAGAGCGAAAAGGGCAAAAATTAAACTGCAGCAAATATTTCTTTTTGTCCTGTAATTATTACCTATTAACTACCTTGTCTTAATTCTTATCATTTTAAAATCCCAGAAAAATCTTTTGTTTTTTTCACTGATCATTTGTGTTAATATTTACAATGATAGAATAAATAGACCCATCAAAAGGTAATAATTTGAACTTCTCTAGGTCACAAGAATGCTTTGTACATATACCTTAAAACAAGCACTATAATTACATCATCTGACCTTAATGGATGTCACCCACAACATATTGCTCATTAAAACGTTGTTATACTGCTATCAGCTGCTCAGCAGAATTATGGGACGTTGTATTATACATTAAGAGGGTAGATCAAAGAGAAGAGATATATTTAAAGGAATTGTTAATAAGAAAAATATAAAAATGTAAACCTTGGGATTATGAAGCAAGAGATCTGATTGTAACAAGGTTTTACTGGTATAAGTATATCGGCAGTGTTATTTCTGTGGACTTTTTGGGGCCGATAATGGTCCCTATTCTGAATTGAAATTATTTCATATTCATGCCTATAATTCCCAAAATTTGCAGTGTACTCCTAAATTTCCTTCCCAGAAAGTAAGTTTTCTTACCAAAATGAGACAAAAAGACCCCCATCCCACATTAATGGGAAAACCTTGATTGGTGTGGGGGATATGGAACTCCTACTGTGTGTGTAGAATGGGGTGTCAGACCTGAGATTTGTTACAGATTTAGTCCCCCAAACTCTACACCTGAAAGCTAAGATTCTTCCCTTGCCTGTGGAATGATACATTCCATTCTGTACTCGCATACATGTATGTCTCAACAAATCTGTCAAAAGAAAAAGAATTGGTGCAAATATATATGCACATGTAATATGTAACATTATTTAATACATGTAATGAAATTTGATGAAATTCCAAGTTGTGTCTGAAACACAACTGGCAGACTTTTGATAAACTACATTGAGTAATGGCATGGGGAAACATTTTGAATTGTTTCATACTTTTTAATTAGTTTGATGGACAGTGGATTTTGTCTTGGATGTTGCAATCAAATGGTTTATATTTCTACATTACCAGATTCCAGCTTTGTTGTATTAGACATGTCTGTCAAGGAGAAGAAAATGGGGCCAAGATTTATGAGGATGCAAAAGGTATTGATTATAATTATTATATATATTTGATTGAAGGCCAATGTCAGCATTCATGTAAAAATCTGCCATATTTGTCATAATGTTTGAATCTGCAAATATTGTAATACATTGTAATGAAAATAATAAACAAGTTTTTTTATTCAATAATTGCTTTCGATGAATCACATATAATTTTAATAATACTTGTATATTTTCAAGTATCTATGGAGTTCATTGCAATTTTCAAAAGTTGAACCCAAATATACCTGTTCATGGAATTATATAGACTCATTGCGGAGGAGAAAAACATCAAATATAGTGTTACGATGTCTCTATCAAATGAAAAATTCATTCTTGTAGAATGTTTCATTTAATAATTATACAATTCACAGTTGTTATGGCATATTAATGGTATTTTCTAAAGAAACAATTAAAATGTTCTTTGTGCAGAAAAAAACAGAGGTCAAAGAACAGAAAACTACATTAAAAGCCAGGCCTGTTTTAACAAGTGATAGAACCCGCAAACTGTCCGGTTCCAGCACAGGTACAAAGTCAACAGATGGTGGGTCTGAAAAGTCTGTCGGAAAGTCCTCGTTACAAAGTCAGAACAAAACTGGGACAACCAGAACCACGACGACTCGGAGTACACCAGGGAAAACTACATCACGTACAGGAGTTAGGACTTCACACAGCTCTACAAGGGCACCAGGTACTCGACACACTCAGGAACGATCAGTCAACCCCACTTGTTCTGATGGTAAGCACTGTGAGAGCTCTGCAAAGGGAAACAACTCTGAAAGTGTAGACTTTAAGGGTAAAAATGAGTCTCAGTCAGGTGTTAATGATGGAGAAGACAATGATGGCCATGACAGGGTGTGTTTGCCTGGGCAAAGTTTCTTCGGGGGTTCTGAAGAAAATGAGGGTTCAAATACATTACTGAATGCTGAAGGTCAAGGGTCAGGAAGTTCGCTGAATGCTGAAGATCATGGATCAGCAACATCGCTGAATGCTGGAGGTCAAGGGTCAGCAACATCACTGAATGCTGGAGGTCATGGATCAGCAACATCGCTGAATGCTGAAGGTCAAGGGTCAATGACATCGCTGAATGCTGAAGGTCAGGGTGGAGCTTGTCAAGGTCAATGCAGGCCAGAGTGTGAATCCCACAGAGAGGCTTTGGACCCAACCACATGTCACACGGGACATTCTAGTCACTTACCAGATCCAATAGTATTTAATGTAGAACTTATTCCAATTTTCAATATCTCATTTTTTTACAGTAACGCATGTTAAATTGAAAATCTTATGCAGTATTCTTACATGGTAAGATCCTTAAATCCTTAATGGTGGTTGTTCAAAGTATTGTACTCCTTTAAATGTCAAGGTTTTCTTCTAATATTGTATTCCATTAATATACTTGATTCAATTCCTCTTGAACTGCATTCATGGTTTGGTGGAGCTGTTGTAAATAGCTTGAAACTGTAGAGTAGATAACTTAGCGGCTTCAGATTTCATTCATTTTTACACAGGGTTTTAATGTGCATTATGTTCAACATTCCAGTTAAAGCTCAACTGTAAAATAGTATTGGTATTGTCAATGTACAGGAAAATGATTGATAAACCTTCTGTCAGTACAGTAGAACTTGTGTTGTGAGGCCAAACCTTTCTTAGGTACAGTAGATCCTTTAATGTCAGACCATGTGCTTCCTAAGTCAGTACAATAAACTTACGTCATGGGAAACCTCCCCTTTTGGACGTACAATATTGTATATTATGGTATCTGTATTGAGATGTTCCCCCTTTTTTGGGTACAGTTGAACCTATATATTAAGGAATGTATATAGGAAAACATTGCATGTAAATGTTTTTTAATGTTTGTGTCGATAGATAATTACAATGTTACTTCCCTACAAATCTAAATGTACGCGTAATATTTTCAATATTACCTTTATATTGATGTCCAAATTTTTTTTTTAACAACTAGAATTCTTGTTTAAGTATGAACAAAAAAATGAAATAATTTCAGTTTTTTAAAAGCAATATAATTTCACCTGAACTATCTGGTAGAACTTGAGCTTCAATACAGAACTGATAGGTTTATCTATACGGGTCTGGTTGAATTGTCACTTTTCGATATAATGAGAGATCTCATTTTCCAGATGTTGTGTATAATTAAGATTTTATTGATCACTGTGTAGTGTTTCACTATTTGTTTGCCAAAAAAAAAGCAAGAGTTTTCATCAATAAATAGCAATCTGTGTCTTTTTGAAGGTAACAGAATCCTTTTATAAAAACACCCAAGGGTACCAGTACTTGTACACCTCGAATAAAAATCGACCAAACAAATGTCAGTATTATTATCCCTTTAAGGTTGAATTTTAATCTCCCTAAGTCAAAGAACATATCTCTATTCATAGAACGGGATCCACAAAGAAGATTTTCAGACTCATCACATGACGTCTTTTCTCCAATCAGAGCTGTGAATTTTTCAACAGGCATGTAATAAAACATACTATCTCCCTTGAGAATTTAAATTCATAATTAACTCGGTAATAGAGTATGATATTTCATAATGTAATACATTGTATTAACTCATTCACCCCTGAAGACACATTTGAACTCTTCCAATTCAAAGGTTGGAATAGTTCATTATGAAATTTCAGGGGTGAATGAGTTACTGTTAGGGTCCTTACGTAGAGTGTACGTTTCAAATATTGATTAACTAACCAAGTCATAATTAATATTTTTAAAACATCTCTTTTTATACGTCATAGTGTGGATCGATCTCTTTTGGAAAAGACATGTCACCAGTAACATAGTATATTAATTTACATGTCTAGGCATTTTTTTTAACTGAGAATTTCTCAGTTTAATGCTTGATTGACATAATAGTTGTGGTTTGTTGATCATTAAAGAGTCATCTCTTAATAATGTTTTTATATTATACAGAGTTTAGTACAATTTTCATTATTTCCTTATTTGGATTCCATTTTGCAGTTTCTGTGCCTTTATATTCATTGCTGGGTATTACAGTAAATAAGTGACAGAGTGTTATTTGTTTATTTTAATTACTAAACACAACCTACAGAAAACTTCATGAACTTGAACACTTTCATTTGTAACACTGTGATAGGTATATTTAAACATGTTGTGATATTTGGTATATACTTTGCTGTGATAAAGGGCCAGCATATTTGTTTAAATAAGGAACTTGTAACTTTGAAGGTCACAGAGGTCAAATGTGTTAAGAGCTTCAAAATAACTTCCTCAGAACTATAAGGCCAAGAATCATGTTTGTCCTGTAGCTGAGTGAAGGGCTATCAAATATTTCACATAAATGACCTTTGACCCTTTAAAGGATAGCTAACTGGGTTTTATCTTAATTATAGTTGAATGAATGACCTTGACCAGCTTTCAAGGTTACAGGTGTCGTGTTAAAACAAAAGAAACAATCCAGTTGAGTAGTTTATTTGTATGTATGTTATAAGGTACATGTCTTTGTGTTGAAAGAGCCCTGCTTGTGGTTGTAATGTAGCCCTATAAATATCATTGTTTGCTAGTACTTGTTCTATTTGTAGTATTCTATAAATATTGACTTTTGTTATCCAAGAAGAAATTCTGTGATATTTGTTTTTTTCCTAAAAATGTTTAATTTACTACAGTTTATGTATATATTTTGTATATATATTTAAAGTAGTACTGTGATACATATTGTGGTGGTTAAGTATAGTGCAGAGATTTTTTTTCAATTGAACATCTTTAGAAAAATGTTATAAATGGATCTAAATGTATTTGGTTGTCCTTTTTACTGTTACTGTTAGCTATTATCATCAGGAAATGTGTCAAGTGATCTTATGGCTATGCTACAGTTTTGCTGTTTTGAATCTACGTTTTCAGACAGTTGAGCTCTCAAACAAAAGTGATATCACAAATCACCCACATCTCACAAATAAGCCCCCTTCCCCTCACAAGTAACCCCCAATCTGACAAATAAGCCCCCTTCCCCTCACAAGTAACCCCTGACCTCACAAATAAGCCCCCTTCCCCCCACAAGCAACCCCCACTCTGCCCAATAAGCCCCCCTCCCCTCCCAAGTAACCCCTGACCTCACAAATACGCCCCCTTCCCCCCACAAGCAACCCCCACTCTGCCCAATAAGCCCCCCTCCCCTCCCAAGTAACCCCTGACCTCACAAATAAGCCCCCTTCCCCTTACAAGTAACCCCTGACCTGACAAATAGGCCCCCTTCCCCTCACAAGTACCCCCTGACCTGACAAATAAGCCCCCTTCCTCTCACAAGTAACCCCTGATCTCACAAATACGCCCCCTTCCCCTCACAAGTAACCCCTGATCTCACAAATTAGCCCCCTTCCCCTCACAAGTAACACCTGATCTCACAAATAAGCCCCCTTCCCCTCACAAGTAACCCCTGACCTCACAAATAAGCCCCCTTCCCCTCACAAGTAACCCCTGACCTCACAAATAAGCCCCCTTCCCCTCACAAGTAACCCCTGACCTGACAAATAAGCCCCCTTCCCCTCACAAGTAACCCCTGATCTGACAAATAAGCCCCCTTCCCCTCACATGTAACCCCTGACCTGACAAATAAGCCCCCTTCCTCTCATAAATAACCCCTGATCTCACAAATACGCCCCCTTTCCCTCACAAGTAACCCCTGATCTCACAAATAAGCCCCCTTCCCCTCACAAGTAACCCCTGATCTCACAAATAAGCCCCCTTTCCCTCACAAGTAACCACTGATCTGACAAATAAGCCCCCTTCCCCTCACAAGTAAGCCCCAATCCGACAAATAAGCCCCTTTCCCCTCACAAGTAGCCCCTGATCTGACAAATAAGCCCCCTTCCCCTCACAAGTAACCCCTGATCTGACAAATACTATGTAAGTCCCTTCCCTTTCACAAATAAGCCCTCTATCACAAATAAGCACTTTCACCTTCACAAATAAGTAACATTCAACAATTAAGCCCCTTCACAATTAAGCCCCTTCACAAGTAAGCCTCCTCTCACAATTAAGCCCCCTTCTCAAATGAGCCTTATTCTCACCTTTGTTACAAATCTTTTTTTACTATTTTTATTAAGACAATCTCAAGTTATTCCTAAAATGGCCTTGATATCAATAGATTCCTATTTTTGTGAATCAATGTGCAGATAGATAATCATTTAAAGTGATTCATTGTCTTGATATATTCCATATTATACTTGATATTAGATAGGTTGTGTACACAAGTATATAATACAAGTGTTGAAAAGTAATTAGTAAATAATAATGAAGGAATTCAGATTTACTGATCATTAACTGTACATTATTTATTCAGAGTTTACATGAAGTTATGATTATGGGGCAAAAGTAAAATCACCATATCCACAACATTAAAATATTGTTAGCTTATTATAATGTCTGATGACAAGTGATTTTGTAATGTGTTTAAAGGATCATTGTCAGATGAAGTCATTTTGAACCAAACACGTAAACCGTCACTATATAAAGCTAGTTTCTGTCAACACTTTGTTGAATGTGACTTTTCAAAATAAAGATCTGTAACTTGTAAGGTATGGTGATATCAATGTACTGTATGTGTTTTAAGGGATGGGTTTCAAATATGTTTCCAAATTTTGAAACAATTGACGACTATTTAGGGTACAATTTGCTTCTATCAGGCAGCAATGTGACTAATGTTAGATCCATATACGGCAGTTTGACATCTAAGGTTTAAACAGTGTTGTATTTTAACTCATTTCCAGCTATAGCTTTGGTATGATGTTTTGTCGATATGGTTGACTGGTTGAGGATTTCTTTAAATATCATCTCATTTTCATGGTGCATTGTAGAAATGAAGTGAAAAGTTTATTTGGATTTTTTTTTTTATCTGATAGTCAATTTAGACAACAGATAATCAGACTAGCCATAACTACTCAGCTCATGTTTGATTCCAATCATCCATAGATAGCTACAACTCAACAAAAACTTTACCTTGTCATTAATAGACAAATAAGCCTTAATTATTCCCCTTAAGTCCTGTCTGTTTTAAACCAGTTCTCATTCAGCCTAGTAATATATACAATGTATGTTCTTTAAGTTAAGGAATAAGATTAGTTTGCAGCATGTTAAATCCTAGTCTTTTTAATATCAGTCTCATGGTTCTCTTGGAACAAGTGGTTGAGTTAATTAAAAAAGAAAAGCTGGTCAAATGATCACATACTATAATGACGTTGACCTATATACCCCGGTATGTATGTATTCAGAAATAATAGCCTGTTCAAAATTGATGAATTATAATAAGCGGGCTACTTTTGCCAACAACAAGTTTTAATGAGAACACCGAGTCTGATGTTTAATATGAGTCTGCAGTCAGACCTCATGACACTGTGCTGATGTTAACTGGTGACATTATAGACATTGTTAAGATTTTCCAGTATTACGGTCTAGTTGTTTCTATGTACAATGTAAGTCTTGTGTAATAAAGCATAGGTATTTTTATCTAGGAAACAATCTGTAGGTTTATCTTAAATACGATTCATCAGTTTTGAAATATATGTGATATCAAAGTTTTACTTTCTACACAAACAATGTATGTATTAAAGTGTCGCAACATTTCAAGACCAACTGGTCTCTTTGTCAAGATATATCTGTAGATTTGTTGTCCGTGTTTGGAAGGGTCGTGAGATCAAGGTTGTGAGAGTAAAATGGTTGTAATACAAGAGTATTTTGAATTGAGATATTTAAAAAAAATATATAGAAGAGAATGTGTTGAAACTATGTGTGAAAGAGTGTGACCTAGTTGAAGGTCTGGCCTGTAGTTTTCCTGATTACACAGGTGCAATTTACAGAAAAAAAATGTACATGTGGGACCAAGTGGATTGTTCAGTTTATACAGCTTTTTATATTACACAGGTTTAATTTACGTAAAATGTAGACAGTGGGACCGAGTTGAAAATAGCTTATATACTGTAGCTCAGGTTTATATAGATTTCCCTACGATACAATGTCTGTTTTAAACAGGTTTCACTGTAAAAGAATACAGCATCAAGTTCTTTAGATCCAACTGTTTTTAGACACTGCATAATTTAACCTGATAACAAATAATGCAAGGTTGTGCTAAATGGATGTGGATTTATAAACAAAAGAAGAACAGGATGTAATTATGGTTGAAGATTACAAAATTACAAGTCATTTAATATGTGCCAAGTTTTGTGTTAATATTTTAATATTCTGTCGGCATAAATTGATTGACAAATTTAAAGTGATGGTACAGTAAATGTTTAATTATTTGATAATTTTGTTGTTGTTGATTTTATAAATATATATATGTATACATGTCCAAGTTGTTTTGATTTTTTTTTTTTTTCACTTTTGAAAAGCATTATTTAAGATGCACACAAATATAAAAAAAGTTATTATTTCATTCATTTATTTTTTGTATCTGTAGGCTTAGATTAAAACTCACTCTTAAAAAGAGTTTGGAGCATAAAAGACTGGTTATACATAAATTATTTTTTAGATAACGATTGTTCATACAGGATAGTAATATCACATCAATACCAAATCTTTTGTTTGACCTTTTCAAGATTTTCTTCTCTATATGATATCTGTATAATATTAATCTCCAGCATGGTATTCATAATTGTGGTTGTTGAGACAACAGTTGAATAATGTTACAACAAAAATTGGTAGTTTCCATAATAAGCACCCAGGGCTTAAAACATTAGCAGAAATGGGGGCACTCATTAGGATAATAAAATATTCTGAAGGGTGTTTTATCAAATAGGGAAGGGGTTTATATAATTTCAGTTCGTCTGGAAAAAGGGGGAGGGACGCTAATTACAGCAAATACAGTACATCTTATTTGCTGATTAGTATATATCTGCCAGTAAGGAAAGCTTGTGTCATAATACTGTTTTCACTGGTTCAGAAACATAAAGCCACCAAAACCTACCCACAGGAGATTTCAGTCTTGTACATTTATTTGTTAACCATAAATTATTATATTTGAAATGATTGACATCAGATTTTAAATTTCTTGTAATTACATATTTAAGAATTAATGTAAATACTTTTTTTCTCTTGAAGAAGAAAAACTTGCAATTTAAAGAATTCTGAAGTAGTGTACGTAGTAGGTAATTGTAATTTGTGGATTTATTGTCTTCTGAACAATTAATTATTTATTTCTCATAACATTACATTATTTGAATGAATATGAATTCATAAAGAATTGGAAAAAGCAATAAAAAACTATTCGGTATCATGGTTAGTCCTGTCGTAGTTATATATGTAATTCCGATTCATCAACAAGGGTATAGCGCGAAAGAGGAACATATAACGAATGAGTAGTTGTCTGTATGGTTGTACATAAAGGGCAATAACTCCATAAATAACGGTTGGCAACGGTGGTTATCGAACTTGTCCCAACTATCATGGCAATGAACCTTCCTGAAATAGATGTCACTGGTTGAGCAATTGAATCAAGGGCCATAGCTCTTTAAGTTACATTCCGATAATTGCTGTTATTAAACTTTTCCGAGCTATCATAGCAATGAACCTTTCTTTGAAGTTTGAAGTTAATCCATTGAAAACTACTCGGGATGTCAAGCATCACCGTTTCAGATAGTGGATAAAGAGCCCCAACTCCGTAAGTTACTGTCGGGTATATTGGTGGCTATGGAATTAAATGTCCGAGCTGTTATGGTAATGAACCTTCTAATGAAGTTTGAATTTAACCTGTTGAAAAGTAATGACGGTATCGAACAGACACCAAGCACGCCCGCCCAGCTTCCCTCAACGTGATAACATAATTAATACATCTCGTCTTTCGAAATGCGTATAAAAATGAGTAAACTTGTAGACTGCCAATAAGGAAAATAAGTATACATGTACACCTGTCGGATATGAGTTCATTACTGAAATATTTTGGGGTACTTTCTAACCAGAAATTTATAGAAATTACATGTATTTAATACATTTTGTACCTTAGTAGTTAGTACTTACCTTGAATTAGCTCAAGTGTTGACAGGCTCCATACCAGGAAGCTGCTCGGTAAATATATTGCAACTGGGCCTTTTGATTCTTCTGAATTTAAACCAGAAGTTGTTTGTGAAAATTTTGAATCCTAGGAAGCTATGGGGAAAAGAACATTGAACATCGTCCAGTGCCTGGAAGGGCTGGTCAGCCAATACGTTGGTATGGCATCCAGCGTACATCTGTCTGTCAACTTTTCCTTTCAATGGTTTTGTCTGAAGAACCAAAAGGCTTACAGTCATGATATTTGGCAAGTAGCTTCCTGGGATGGAGCCTATTAAATTCTGTGAATACAAATGACCTTGACCTACTTTCAAGGTAACAGGGTTAAAATATGTCAAAACTTCAAACAATTTCTTCTGATAAACCAAAAGGCCCCGAGTCATGATATTATATACAAGCAATTTCGTGGTATTCATATCCTCCGCTTTAAGAACATGTTTTAGATGAAGTTGTCATTATTGAGAGTTACTAGTTTTGCTAGTAACTTCTGGGTGGAACTTGTATTAAAATGAACTAAACAGTGTTTGAATTATAAAAGAACATGAACAGCAAGAATGATGAATAACCTTGACCATCTTTAAAGGTCAGATTAGTACATCAAGTTAATGTCTTCCAGAGAAGATTGCTAAAGTGTACAGTACAGGATCAGGTAATAAAGTTTCAAAGAACCGTTATGTGTAAAGCAACAATACTTTATTATTAAATTTTAAACTGGTTCATCTTTGAAGGTCACGTGACAGGAATAACAAGTGAGTGATACGGGTCTATTATGCCTCTTCTTATTCTCTAAACATTTCCAGAATAACCAAGAGGCCTAGAGTAATGAAGTTTTACTTATAGTCTTCTGGAGTAAAAGATTGTTAAAATGAATGACCTTGACAATTTTTTAAGGTCACATTGTCAACTTTAATAATATCTTTAAAAACAAATCTGAATTATAACCTATCATGAGGTTATTGATCATGCTTTGTATAATATAGCTTACATGGATAGAAGACTATTAATATAACCCTTTCACCCCTATGTAACTTTAGTAGACTCCATACTACAATGCATTGATCTTGATGAGTCCATTTTGGTCTACAGTGGTGAAAGGGTTAAGTTTGTTCAAATAATCAAATAAGTGACCTTATAAATACAACTTTGAAAGTCACAATTGAGAATGATCCTGTAGTATTATACTTACAGGTTAAAATTTTACCTTGAACCACTGTAACAAGAGGCCCAACTGGCCTGCATCGCTCACCTGGTATTAATCTCACACTTGTAAACTTAAAAGTGGACTAAAATACAGCTACAGGCAGAATATCAGTGTGACCTTGAATGTCAAACAATGACATTAGGTTGAAAGTGGGTCAAGGTCATTCATTTGAACAAATTTGGTAGCCCTGATTGCTACAGGCCAAATATCAGTACCCTGGGCCTTTTGGTTATTGAGAAGAAGTTGTTTGAAGATTTTAAGACATTTGACACCTGTGACCTTGAAA